GCCGCGCCTGCCTTGGATGCGCCTATGCCATTAATAACGAAAACAGCCAACAATGCAGGGGCATTTGCTACGACTGCACCCGCCGCGATGCCGGCCAACGACATGTGGCTGAGGCGCATGGGGAGAGCCACCGAGAGGACTCGTGCGGCTACGAGCACCAAGACCCAGCTCTAGAGCCGGACCCACAGCGGGCGCCAGCAGCCACGACATTACAGTTGACAGACATGTTGCTGAACCTGCTGCAGGGCAACCTGCCTCGAGTGGAGCTGGGAGTTCGGATGGCCACATCCGACTTCCACAGGTCAGAGTCGGACGTGGCCGACAGCAAGGAGGATATCCACCTTCACTGCCACCTGCGGGCAACCCTGCTGCGCGACCACGACTTCCAAACTGGTCAAGGTTCGACGTGCAAATCAGTCTACAAAACTTACGAAGCCTTGACCCAAGCGTGGTAACACGCGAGCTGCGGAAGCTACACTTGCGTTGTTTCCATGCGAAAGAGCCTGCGATGAGACTCATCTTAACCAAGATAGGTCTGGACAGCGCCAGACTCAGCATGATTAAAGGTGTCTGCGACACTTGTCGGGAGTGCAGGGCTTTGGACAAGCTTGGGCATGCGGTTTTGCCATCTACTGCACTGCGTGGCAAGTTCAACGAAGAAGTTGAATGTGACCTTATGTTCTGCAAACAAGAACAGAATACATGTCATATCAATGATCTTTGTATCCGCTTTGTTACTGGTATGGAGATACCAGACAGGACGATGACCAGTATGCTGGATGCGTACCATCAGTGCTGGATGCAGTCTGGACCTGCAAAGGTACTCTACTCCGATGGAGAGGGTGCCTTCAACAACGACACTGCGAACGCAGTCCTTAGGGCAGCGGGCACTGAACTAAGGGTACGTGCGCGTGGACAACACGCTGTTACGATCGAAGCCAGGAATGGCAGACTGCGCCATATACTTTATGTCATGGAAGCTGAACTCAACAGGTTAGACATACCTCTTGTGTTCACACGACTACTGCATGAAGCCTTGCTTGCCGCCAACGCGCTCGCCCTCTATAGTGAGATGCGGCGCCTTGTTTGGACAGCAACCGGCAATGCTCCTTGTCTTGCCTATCCTGGATCAAATCATCATTCGAGTGGGAAGCCGCGACGTGCAGGTACAATACGGCGATGCGCGACATTCACTCTATATTGAAGCTTTGATAGCCAGAGAGACTGGCTCCGACAACATTGCACTACGGACAGTGTTGACGGCCGTGGCCAGTTTGCCTGCGGGGAGACCTGCTACGACATTTGGCTATGTCCCGACCAAGAAGGGGATGCTTCAGATGCCAAGTGCAAGCCGGCAATCTCCTAAGGTACATCTGGCTTTACAATGCCCCATTCGAAATTTCTTACGCATTGAGAACGTAGTGTCGGTCAGGTTAGCCAAGAGTATCTACCAGTTACCTTTGGCGGCTTACGCTGGCAGTTGCACATTTGTCCATTATCACGGCGATGTGAATCCATGATTACATTATTATGAAGCAGAAGGCACCGCTCTTAACATTCACGGTATAATTGGATCAGCACATTCAAGGATCATCCCGTGCCTGAAGTCCACTCAACCTCAAGCGGGCTTTGACCAGGCCATGACAAAGTTTGAGGAACTGGCGGATGCACCGACGCCGGACGGAGCCACAAGAGAAGCCTCAGATGCCGAACCACCACAGGATGATAGACGGCTTCCCGCGATGCACGAGGAATTGGAGGCTGACCTCGAGGCGCGCATTATGGGAGTGGGGTATACAGAACTACGAGATGAAAAGGAACTACTGGAGGTAACTCCACTGGGGGGATCGTTTCACAGTGCCCACACATGATTCCAGACAACAGTGTGCTGATTACTGTAGCTGAAGAACAGCGGGTGCACCTGCCTAAGTGGGGGCACCCACGCGACTCCGACGTCGAGGGGGCGTAGCATGTCCCTTTGTGTTCCACGGTCGAAGATTGCAATTGCGGGCTGGACTCAGACGAACATGGACAATGTGTAGAACATTGCTTCGCGGCAGGAACGTCAAAGGCAGTCCTGCCCGAACAACAGAGCAGGATTTTAGTGGCCACCATGCGAGTGCATGTTGCCGCCGCTGCTAAGCGAGCTGCGGTCGTCAAGGAATGCGACTTCCTCGCGAGGGCTGACGCCCAGGCGAATCCCGAGAAAGTATCGGGCGCCTTAGACACGGTTTGACAGCAAGTGTTTCAAACTGCAAGAGATACATATACATACATATATATAGATGTATATATATATATAAATAAAAGCGTCGAACATCATGACTTCGAGGTATGCGCGCGCATGGAAGTTTGTGGAAACGAGAAGGACGAAATGGAGCGCGCCGTCAGATTACGCCTGGTGTTTCGAGGCTTCATGGGCCTTGAAACTTGCGATGTGGACGCCTTTTCAGGAACGACGCGGCGGTCAAGCCAGAGACTATTTGTCAGCGCGGCAGCGTGCAAGAAGCAATGGGCCATTGCTCCCCTCGACATCAACATGGCCTTCCTGAAAGGGTTGACCTACCAGGAACTTGCTGAGGCAACTGGTGAAAAAGGAACGCGTGGTGTGCTTTGCTCTGCCACCTGGATCGGCTACGGTGCTTCGCGCTCTCCCAGGATTCGAACACTACGACGAGTCGAAGCGCTGCGCGCAGCGCCGTAAGCCAGGCGCCGGCGCCAAGGTCGAGACGAGCAGCAACCAGCCCGCGGCCAAACATGTTGATGACATCAATATGGCCAGCACAGGGGACACCATTGACAGGCGCGTCAAGTGCCTAGAAGACACCTTTGGTGAGTGTGCACTCAACAAGCACACATGCACCACTTGTGCTGTGAGATATACCAAGAATGAGGACGGCAGTGCTACTGTTGACCAAGACGAATACATCAAACAGCTCCGTCGTATACAACATCGTGAACTTACAGGCGCCGACGCTGACGCCCAAGCATCCAAGATGGTTGCATACATGTTTGTCAGCCATAGAAGCGCATTGGCGTACGCATTAATCACCCAGTTGTGGTCGATGGTGAATGTTGTCTCTCTACAACGCGTCCGAGAACCGACCAACATACAAGTGCGACGACTGAACGCGATTTCCAGGAAACTGCAGGCCTGCCCTAAGAAGATCGCCAACCAGGCGGTGACCCCCACGGGCGAGGTTGACCTGCACAGCGACTCAGGTTACCGACGCCTGAGTGGAGATGCCGATGGCGAATTCAAAGGTTACGGCATTCTCGGGGCAAACCTGCTACGGCGTGGAAGCACGCCATCGGGTAAGCCCGTCGTTCACTTGATCGATGCGTAATGCAAGTCTCGCCGCTTGCAGGTTCGCTCGAGCTATTCAGCAGAGACGCTAGCAGCACCCGCAACATGGAGGACTGTTATCCCGCGACCGTGACTCTGCGCGAGCTCCACGCAGGGCCGCTAACGCCCATTCAGATGGATGACATACTTGAGTTGGGTGACCTGAGCATCAAGGTCACTTTGACCATAGATGCTGAGTCTGTTTTTAAGTCCTTGTCAAGCAAAGACGTAACGAAGCCGACTGAGTGCAACCTTTTGTAGGACACATCAGCTGGATACGACAGATGATGGGGCGAGGAATCGTGCACAGTATTCAGTGGTGTGACACCCGCGATATGCCCGCAGACGGTTACACCAAGGGGAACATCGACATATACATGCTCATACACGTCACGGGAGGTACACAATCCTTCAAACATGACTTAACGCGTCATACTCCCTATCGGGCTTGCCAGACATCCCGTTCTCTAGCCGCCTGAGGAGTAATCGTATGCACAGTATAGTGCAGGCAAGGCAACTTGCGTGCGGGTCCACCTTCCTTACGGCCCCGCCCTTTTGCTGTCCTTTTGTTAATAGTCGCTACTGCACCTGCTGTGTAGGGGCGGCGGGTTCACGCTTCGTCTCCCCCCTCCCGATTCTAAAGTGAACTGGGTGTTGCATGTGAGTGGGAGCGAGCGTGCATCCGCGGCTTCTTGGCTTAAAGTGGCGGCCGCCAAGATCTGACTACACCTCAGCGCGAGGTGCATTATTTTCAATTGATACTCGAAACTGCTTGTGGTGGCTCGCCCCCTACTACTGGGACTCTAGTTACTACGGTAAACCAGTGCGGGAGCTGGGCTTCGCCTATGGCGAAGCTGTTGGTTGGGCCTCCCAACCCCTTTCAAATTGCAGGCCCCTGCTCGGGCGGGTGCCACATGCGTCCCTGTCCCGAGGGGTCCCCAGCTGTTCGCTCCACGTGGGGCCCCCCGAGGCGGGGTGCTTTGGAAACTGCGGGGGCCCCCTTGGGACTCCTGAGTACACTCTGGGCCAGGGGCGCCCTGGGAAACTCCCTGACCTTCGGCATCACCCCAGCATGCGCTTGTACTGTGTGAAGCGGCTCGCGCGCCTGCGCGCTCAGAAAGCGTCTGGTGTAGGCTTGGTGGCGGGGGCTTTCTGGCCATGCGTTCGGACACCGACATGCTCCAGTATGCTCCAATGCGTCTGGTGGTTTGGTGGTGGACTCTGTTACAGTCCAAAGTACACTGGCCTCGGGCCTCGGAGGCGGAGGCTTGGCGGTTCGGGCAGCGACATGTTCCAATATGCTTGCATTCCGTTGCCGGTTCGGACTTGCGTTCCCATGACCTCCGACGTCGTGATGGTTCACATTCTGGACGAAGACGTCTCGATCCAGTCCCCAGGACCTGCTGTTCATCTCGAGCCGTTTCTTGACGGTCCCTGGGCCCGCTGAGGGCCCCATGAGGCCGAGCAAGGTGTTAAACATCCTCCGCCGTGATCGTTTTGACGACGATGGGATATTAGGGGAGCCCCTCAATGAGGAACCCTTTTCAAACAAGGGCCGAATAGGGGCAGAAGTCTCCCGTCGTGTTTTTGTTCACGACGCCAGGGTCCCTGGGCAGCGCCCGACCTGCCGGTTCGATCCTCGATGTCCCCGCAGGAGGGCGGGTTCGACGTGTACCTGCCCGACTTCATGGGGGACGCCGAGGCGCAGGAGCCGACGACGACGACGACGACGACGACGACGACGACGACGGCGACGACGACGACGACGCCGCCCAATCCTCCACCGACGATGGCGACGACGACTCGGACGACGACGACGACGCAAAGGAAGACGACGACTACGACGACGACGACGACCCACCGACGATGGCGGCGGCAGCGGCGACGACGACGACGGCGCCGACGACGACGACGACCCGCCGACGACCCGCCGACGACGACGACGACGCCCAACCCTCCACCGACGGCGGCGGCGACGACGACGACGACCCACAGAGGACGACGGCGGCGACGACGACGACGACATCGACGACGACGACGACGACCCACCGACGACGGCGACAACGACGACGAAGACGACGAGCTTAACGACGGCGGCGATTACGAGGACGACGATGGCGACGGCGGCGGCGGCCTCGAGCGGCCCTTCGGCGGGCGGGTACCGCCGTGCGCCAGTCCCGTTTGATCCCGCCTAATCCGGATCAGTCCTGATCTCAATCCGGCCTGATCCAGCCAGGTTCGGTTCGGTGGCCCTTCGATCGGGCTTAGAGATCATTCCCCACATCCAAGGTGGGATGATTGTTTTCTCTGCGTACCTCCCGCAGAATATTATCCTCTTCCACCCCCTCCTCCACAACCACGCACCCATGCACACACACGCACTCATCAGCATCATCATCATCATCATCATCATCATCATCATCATCATCATCATCATCATCATCATCAGCATCAGCATCAGCATCAGCATCAGCATCAGCATCATCACCACCATCATCATCACCATTATTATGACCATCATTATCATCTTTATTATCATCTCCACCACCATCATCATCATTATCGTCATCATCACGATTTCGCGATCACGATGTTCACCCATAATTAGTTGTATCCTTGATGGGACTATGGGTGAACTTCGTGATCGCGAAATTCTAGCTTTAGGTATCGACGCCAATGCAGAAGTCGGCGGCGCCGAAGTGGAGGCAGAGATTTTCGGTCTGGGGCCGGATGCCGCCGGTACACGTCATGATCGCGGTTCCAATTTGGTGGATCGTTTTGTTTCTAGGAAGGGCGCATTTACCAACTTGTTTTTCCAGATGGATGTTGCGCATACGTGCTTCGCTTGGGACGGTTCCAGTTTTTCAAATATTGATTTATTCATCTTTACAATGGATAAGCTCGGTCGCATTGGCCGTTCCCGTACTCTCCCAGTGAATCCGGCAGCAACCAGAACGCACCATCACTGTATCCAAACGCTTCTGTAGGCCTCAGAATTGCGACGTTGGCGTATGCGCAAGCCGATCAATCGGAAAGTGGAGAAGCCAGAGGAGAAGGAGGAGAATGAGGATAAGGAGGAGAAGGAGGAAAAGGAGGAGGAGGGGAGGAGGAGGGGAGGGGGAGGAGGGAGGAGGAGGAAGAGGTGGATGAGGAAGAGGCGGACGGCGAACCGAAGAGGCAGAAGCTTCTTAGATTCCTTTCGGAGATCCTCTTAAGGATTCTTAGGGGTCTCTTAGAAGCCTCTTGGAAGCCTGTTGGAGGCCTCTTGGCGCCGTCCGGGCGCCACTTGGGGACCTCTTCAAGAGCTCTTGGGAGGCTTTTTGGGACCTCCTGGTGCCTCCTGGACGCCTTGTGGGGCCATCTTGGAGGAGTTACAGAGTTACAGATAGTGCGAGTGTGTCGGTTACGGACTGACTTAAAGAGAACGAGCCGCTCTTGTGTCCTTGTCAATTTTGCTGTAAGTTTACGGCCAGATCCCCCGCGAGCTTGAGGCGCTCTTGGAGCGCTCTCGGGGCCGTCTTGGGGCCCTCTTGGGGCCCTATTGGGGCTCTCTTGGGCCATCTTGGAGCCATCTTGAGGCCTCGAATGGCCATCGGGAGCGAAACAGCGAGACAGCACAAACCATTGGTTTTCCTGGGCTGTTTGAACCTTTTTTGCCTCTTGGAGGCCTTCTTGGGGAGCTCTTTGGCCTCTTGGAGCCGTCTTGGGGCGGTATTGCGGCCTCTTGGAACATCTTCGGGGCTATCTTAAGGCACCTTAGGCTACCTTGAGCCATCTTGGAGCTCATCTTTGGCTCTCCGAGGCGCTCTTGGAGCCATCTTTGGCCATCTTGGACGCCCCGACCGCTCGCGAAACGCCCCGTCCAGGTCCATGGGGAGGGGGTAGGGGGGTGGGGGGGTAAACCCTTCCCCGAAGGGGAAGAGGGAGGGGTGGAGGAGACACTCTAGACCACCTGCGCCCAGGGGGCTATTCATCAGTTGCACGATTGTAGATTCGGAGTACAGTTTCTGACCCGTGGTGACGCCTCGTGTCTCCACCGCCTGAGGGGAGGTTGTGAATGTCTGGATGCGTTCCCTCTCCTCCCCTGGCCTCCTCCATAATCGTTTTGGCTCACAGTGATTTGGGGTCCCCTGTCGGCGACAGCTGAATGGGAGGGGACCCCGCCGCCGCCCTCCATCTCTTCTGGGCCGTGGCCCGCGATCTCTCGGGGCTCGGGCAGCGGTGCCCCGACGTCTCGCTGAGCTGCCCGGAGCAGCACTGCCCTGCCTGTCCGGGGGTCACGTGCCCGGACAACAACGCCTGCTACCAGCTAGTGGGCGAGTTCGCTGCGGCTGCGCGCAGCGGACGGACATCGCCGGCGTGCCCGGCGGCGCAGGTCTGCGAGGCCTGCGAGAGCTGCTTGGACGCCTGCCCCGCATTCCCGTGGCTGCTGATCGTGCTGCTCTGCGGCCTGGCGGCGGGCTGCGGCGGGGGAGGCTGCCTGCTCGGGAGGCTGAGTGTGCGCCGAGGCAGGTCGGCCCCGACAGCGCCCGAGGCGGAGCCCCTGGTGGACAGGCCCTTTGCGACGACGCCCTCGACCCTGCGGTTGAGGAATGGCGCATAGGGCTCTCGATATCCCTGAGAAGCAGGTGCTCATCGATTTCTTCGAGGACGAGAACGGGCTGAACTGGCACGCTCGGATCCTCTTGATCCCAGGGGGTCAGGGAAGATGGATCGTGTGCTCGCCGACGTTGGCCGTACAGGTCGCCGATCTCTCGTCGCATCGGATCCGGATTCTTCGGCGGGGAGAGCCGATCGACCCGGCATACCTCCGCGAGTCGTTCGTCTTCGACGAGGAGCTGGACGAGGGGGAGCTGGCGCGGATCCGAGCCGAGGCGTACGAGCTGGCCGAGGTGGCGGGCTTCGACCTGGCGGGTTTCAGGCCGGCCGCTGGCCCAGCGGCTGCAGCGGAGAACGCCACGTGGCGGGTCGCGGACCCAGCCCACCGAGCCTTTGGGGAGGTCGTTCCACTGGATGCGCTTCGAGATCAGGAGGGCTGCACGCTGGGCGACAAGGTGGGCTGGGTGACGATCGACGACACGGGTGTCTTGATCGAGCAGGTCGTGGACGACAGGTTGGAGGCCTGGCTATCGGCCAAGCGGTGCGGGCCAGGTCGCGATCCCCGGCTGCTGGGGGACGTTCGGGACCACCGAGGGCTGCGGTACCTGCACCCAGACGAGGCGACGAAGAAGCAGAGCAAGACGAAGATGCCCTACGAGCCCTTCGAGGGGCCCGAGGCCGCCGAGGAGTTCATGGTGAACATGCTGCGGGTGGGCTTCAATTTCGTGACCCACAACTTGGACTGGGAGGCCAAGAGCGGCGTGTCGCCGAAGTCAGGGTTGGCCCGCGAGCACCGGCATCTCAGCAGCGCGCTCTTCGTGGCGCAGTCGGTGGACCAGTACGACCTCACGAACAGCCTCTCGAACGAGATGCACATCAGAAGGTTGATTCAGATCGAGGCGGCGGTTCGGAGGAACCCGAAGTCACCCGACTTCGAGGGGCTGGAGGTTATGATGTCCCACCCGATCGGCACGGGCGGGGAGGTGACCACGAGGAACTTCACCAAGTGGGTCGCCGAGCGGCAGAAGGACGAAGGCTTCCTCCTCAAGCAGCAGAGGCTGTGGCGGGAGGAGAGAGCGGCAGACGACAAGCGCCAGGCTGGCAAGAAGGATCAGCCGGGCGCGGGGGCCAAGTAGCCCTTGCATCGAGGGGCGCCGTCGTGCCCAGCGCTGGGTCCCCAGGCGCTGAGCTCTACGCGGCGGTGCCGCTATGCCTGGGGAAGAGAAGGGAGCCCGACGCCATGGAGAGCCCTTCCCAGTTTTGGTACCAGAACAAGTTCGACCTGAACTACGCGGTGTGCCCCGCTATCTTCGGCAAAGACTTCGGAGGCGGGCCAGCCGTGAGCGGCGGATCCACTCGGTGCTCGGGGCGCTCAACGCCCTGGAGGCCGGGCCGTCGCGTCCCTTTCGCTCAGCTGGGCGGGGGCGAAGAGCAACAGGAGAGCGCCCCCTCGGGCCGAGCAGCTTATCGGTCTTCGAGCGGGTGGCGCGACGAGTTGGGGCCGCCGGGGGACGCCCGGCCGACCTCGGCGAGCAGGGGGCCCTCAAGGAGCTCCTGCGCACCAAGGACCTGTACGGCCTCGAGCCCAGCAGCCTGGGATCGTACGCGTACGAGCGGGTCAAGATTCTCGAGTGTGGCATCACGGTCCGCGACGTCCTGGACCTGGTGCCGCCTGACCAGCGTGACATGCTGGCCCACCCGGAGAAGCACATCCTCCGTGACGCCTCCGACCTCGAGCGCGCGAACGAGCAGGAGATGCCGTTCTCGCCCTTCTGGGACCCGAAGCTGCGCTTCTCCAGGAAGGAGCGCTACCGGCTGCTCGCAAGGCTCAAGGAGCTTGGGCTGCTGGGGTTCCGACGGAGCATCAGAGCGAGGATGGGGATCTTCTTCGTCTCGAAGAAAGATGGGACCCTGCGCCTCATCGTCGACGCGAGGGAGGCCAACCGTATGTGTCGCCGCCCGCCACACACGTGGCTCGAGACCGTGGCGGCGCTCGGGTCCCTGGACCTTTCAGACAGTTCGATCGGCTCGGGCGGGCCGGCCGACGTCTGCGCAGCCTCGGTCGACCTGTACAATGGCTTCTACCAGTTTCGGAACCGCAAGCTGGGC